AGGGCCCCAAGTACCAGATCAAAGCCCCCTCCCGGCCCAGGAAGCCCCTCAGGGTGGGGTACCTTCTTGTTGCAGCCCCGGCAGGGTGCCTTGTAGGAGGAGAGCTGCTTCTCCACATGGGTGGCCTTGTCCACCTTCTTGGGGTCAAAGGGCAGGCGGCACAGCGGGCACAGAGGGGATGGCACCTGCAGGCATGGCTGGAGGCACTCCCCGCAGAACCTGCAGGGGGCAGGGGGCAGGGGGCATGGGCTCCAGCACACATGGGGCAGCAACTCTCTGCTGCCAACTGTGTATTTCTGGAGACAGTCACTTCTGAGCCCGAGTCCCACTGGCTAGACGGGCACCATCTGGCTAAAGGGTTCCCTCCCAGCCGTGGGCTCTTGGGATGCTCTGCCATATCTTGGACCTACAGCTGTGGCTCTATAGGACCTGTGCTGACCCCAAGGCCCTGGTCCCAGCAAGAGCTCTGGCTACAGTAGGAGGCTGGGGCTCAGCCTTACAGTCTCACCGCCACCTAGTGATAACAAAATCTCAGGGGGCTCAGAGGACACAGAGACAGCACAGGGGACCCTGGAGACCATCTACCCACTAAGCTCTGGGGAGTAAAATCACTGACAATGGCAGGAGAGGAAACTGCAGGGCCCCAGGGGCCCAGGACTCATTGGATGGATCAGGGTGAAAGCTGGCAGGTGAGCAACACCAGTCTTGGGACAGAGCCCATTCCCTGGGCAGGAAGGGCTCCTGCTAGGCCTTAGTGGATAGATGCACATTGACAGGAGGGGCTGTGCTCGGGCTCCCGACTGCCCAGCAATGATGCCCCCAGCCCTGGGCACGTATTTGGGCACCAGAGGCTTCCTGCAACCCTGAATTCTAGGCACTTGTCCCTAGAGATGCCACATCCTGTGTACGCTGCATGTGCAGTGAGCCCTCCTTCCCCGTGCCCCTCAGCTGGAATTTACAACCACCCCCATGTTGCAGAAGAGTGCGCCACTCATTCGGGGACAAAGTTGGTCAGCAGGGGAGAGAGGGGGAAGGCGCTTGATCACAGGACCACCTTGGTCCAGCTTCATAGGAAGTGCTGTGGGGACCACACAGCTGGAATCTGGAACTGGAGACACTAAAATGGAGCCTCCACAGCCCCAGAAGAGCACATGCTAAGCCCCATCATGGCAGCTGGGTTCAGATGCATGAGAAAGGTAGTAATCCTGCAGACTGCAATAAATCTGCAAGAAACTAAGGTACGTACTCCTCTACTCCCACCTGTGTGCATGAAGCAGGCTGGGCCATGGTGGGGCAGAAGCTGTATGGGACACAGGGATTGAGAATATTCCTGAGTGTACAGAGGATTCAGCTAAGCTAAGGGGTCAGAATTCCCTTTGCCATCAGACTTTCACCTCCTTCTCAGGAAAAGGCAGCCAAGAGGGATCCAGAGTTCCTCCTACTGCTCAACCCCAGGCCCTCCTCCTACACGCTGGCTTCCAGTGCTGCTACCACCTGGCTGGTCACCACTCAAATTAATGAATTAACCTTGGCACACAAGAGAAGGCTTGGCTAGGCCTGACACCTGAGGCCATCAGAGGGTGTTCTGACAACCCCTGTCTTAAAGAGGAAGGAGGTCAGCCCGCTTGTTATGTCCTGCACCTGGCGAGAGCTTGCCAGGTATCACAGCAGACGTGCAAAGAAGACACCACACACCCACCCCTGGTGCTCTGGTGAGGATTCCAAAGCTGTCCCTCTCACCTGTCCCAGGATCTGCTTAGCCTAATTGCCGGGGGAAGCTGCTTACTTCGCCCAGTCTCTGGAGGAAAGTGCTGGCTAGGTGGTCACAATGGGGAGGCTGCAGGAGATCCACACATGAGTGTTCACATAGCACCAGTTACAAGAGCCAAGAGGAAAGAACCCCATGTCCATTGATGGGTGACGGACACACAGATCTCGGCTTATCCCTGTGATGGACTACGTAACTCAGCCATGAGACAGTGTGTGCTGACAGATGTGACCACTTGGAGGAACCTTGAAAACGTCATGCTTAGTGAAAGAAACTTGTGACAAAGGACCACGTAGTGTGTGATTCTATTTATGTGAACTGTCCAGAACAGGCAAATCCACAGAAAGCAGGTTAGTGGTTGTGGGGGGTGGGAATTTAGGGGGTGACTTTTTGGTGTGATGAGAATGTTGTAATATTGGTTGTGGTGATGGTTGCTCAGTGCTGTGGATATACTATGAACCACTGAACGGTACATTTTAAATGAGGAAATTGTATCTCGATAAAACTGTAAAAACACATGCAGAAGGACACAGGACCATACGTCGGGACAAGCCGTCACCACATCATCAGCAGAAAGCAGGATCCAGTGCAGGCCTCAAGAGGAGCAGCTCTCTGACAAGAGATGCACAGGATGTTGGGGTGGAGGGCGCCCCGCTGTCCTCCAATGGGAGGCAGAGAAGCTTTGGAAATCTTGGGAAGGCATACACAGCCCCCTGCCTGACCCCCGGACTTACCCACCAGCCCCGCAGCACTGCCTGTCTTCATGTCATGGTCCCTGAGGAGCTGGAGGCAGAACCGGGTGTCCACGAGGTGGCCAAGTTCATGGCCTAATTTCCGGCATCATCACTGTGGTGTGCTGAGAGCCATAGTAGACTAACAGTGCCTGCTTCTCTCACAAGAGGTTCCTGCCAGCATCTGCCCGAGGGGCTGGTGTAGGGCAGCTTGGCAGCTGAGGGGTCTGCTCGTCCCTCCCAAGCCCATGGGCACAGCTGGAGTAGCTTGACAGCTACTGCATGGACCCCAGGCTGTAGCAGTAGCACCAATGTGTCTCACTCCCACCCTGGCTTCTTGCACATGTATACGTACATCAGGGTAGGCCAATGTTTCAGAGACCCAGGATGGCAAGCAGGCCAGGCCCCAAGCACCTAGAGCTGTCCTGAGCCCAGAGGCTGACCTCCAAAGCCTTTTCCGGGTGGTCACTCACTCACTCACTCACGTCCTGGCCCGTCTGACTTGGCTCACCCACACACAAATCCAGGTGAGCTGCCTGTGGGCCCAAGCCTCCATGCGCCTGTCCAAGGTTTGTGCTCTCCAGAGTGACAGAAACTCCTGGGTCCTCTGGGATCCTGCCTAGAGAAGCCAGCTCATTGGCCTGGGTGCAGCCGGGCAAAGGAGTGTAAAGGCTCAGCAGTCCCCAGGGTCTGCGGTGGCTATTACAAGAATACAAGTGGTGGGGAGGGGGCAGTGCTGAAGCGGGTGGGGACTACTGAAGGTGGTAGGGGAGAGTGGCTACAAGGCTGGCTTGGCCTGACTACCTGAGCTCAAATCCTGGCTTTGCTGTGACATTTGGGAACTTTACTCGGCCTCTCTGTGTGTCGTTTTCCTTGTACAAAAGGAATAATGGCAGTATCTGCCTCACTGAGCTGTGGCATGCAGAGAGTACTCAGAAAACATCTATTATTATCATTTCCTATGGTTCCCATTAAACATGAGCTTTTAAATTTTTCTATGACCTCTGTTCATGAACAACCTGCATGTGGGGATACTTAGATACAGTGACAAATGTGACAGCACTGACAAAAGGGATGAAAGAAGAGTTATAAAGGCTGGAGGTAGCCTGGGCTGAACCCTGCCCCAAACACAGGCCCTTGGGGGATGGTCCATCAGAGGGTTAGAAACAGCGGTACAGCTTTTGGTTCTGGCTATGGCTCACTATCCAGGATATCCCTCAAGTGTGACAGAAAACCATCTTCCGCTGGGGTCCCTGGGGAGTTCCTGAGAGCTCTTCCACAAGTTCCACTGAGAGGGGTCCTGCTCAAAACCCTATGACTCCTTCTGTCTGGGTGCTGGAGCAGGGGTACCTGTTCCAGATAGGGCTGCTCTCACCACCAGAAAATCTATTTTGTGGAAGGAAACTGCTTACATTCAGATAGCTATGGAAGGAAATAACCAGACCACCAGCAAAGTTTTAAAAGGAAAGGCGGAACCTTTAAAACTGTATTCATCTGCACACGTCTTCACAACACCAGGCAAGAAACTTAGGGAAAGTAAGAGGCAGAGACAGAATAACCAGGAAAACAAGCTAGCCTTAGATGTAGGAGGAGATGGGTCAGGTTCTGCCATGAAAAGCATGGGAGGAGGGGCATTTATAGACGATGTTTCACAACGATTCTATGTAGTTCTGTATTCTGAAAACCACTTAAATAAGTCTTTAAGAAAAGACTTACTTGGAAAAAAAAAAAAGAAGAAATACATATTTGTACAGACTTGGAGACTGGAAACACTGCGGCCCATGGCTGGGTGAGTGTTAGTGCCAAGGGGGCATCACCCAAAGCCTAGGAAAGTCTTTCTAAATATTAGGACCAGGATAAGCCTTACAGTTCTCTCAATGACGGACTGAAAGATGCAGAACACATCTTAAAACACCCACTAGTATGTTCTTATAAGAAACAAGTCCTGTTCAGAGGCTGCCCCTGTCAAAATGTCACAAGCAGCATGAAAAAGTAAGGTGCAGTATCCTTCAAAACCAGTCTGCAGTGCTTTCTTGTGCTGCTTGACATGGGAGATGGGGGGTGGGAAAGGAAAGTGAAGGCTTCCTGGATCCTGACACTGTCCCTGCCACCTCCCTGGGTGACAAGCAGACACTCGCCCACCCAGTAGTTCCAGCTCCCCTTTTGTATCAAGAGCCTCCCAAATCAGCTATCTTTGTTTGCAAATATTCTAGGCCTCCTACCAGCCAGAGTATACCTCAGCCCAACTTTTCTGAGTGAAAGCCCCACCTCCTCAGCAGCTCTACTGGCAGCCAAGCCCTCCAGCCCCCTCTCCCCATCTTGCTGATTTTACTCAAGAGCTGTATTCAGTCCCGTGGGAGAGTCAGAGAGCAGAGATACTCTGATCTCAGCTCTCTCCCAACAAGGCTGGCAGCTGCAAGAAGATTTGAGTGCAGCTGTCAGCTGGGAGGAGAGCCACATCCTCAGGTTTCTGTTCCTGAAACACCCTGCAGGAGCCCACTGTGGGCCCTGGTGCAATTAGAAACTCTAGCAAGGTGCTTGGCGACTGGTCCCCCGAGGACCAGCCTGCTTGACTGCTCCCTGATGGATGTAACCCAAGTTCTTCATCAAAACAAAACAGCACCAGACCCCAGGCAGGCCGCTCTCCTAACTTTAGGGAACTTCTCAACAGTCTAGACAAGCAGACAGCGGGTCCGAAAGAGTTGACAGCAAGAGCCACAAGACATTTATTTACAACCGCCCACTCAGTCTTCACAGGACCAAATCCAAGGCGACTGGCGCAGAGGTCGCACCTGCTGCCCTCTGAATACCCGGGGAGGCTTGCTGAGGACATAAGCACTCCCGGAGATCCGGGACCCCGAGACCGGGCAGTGCTGCAGGTCGCCCCCGTGTGCCAAGAGGGTGGTCGGGTCGAGTGCGCGGGGCTGGCGATCAGGAGGCTGGGCTGAGGCAGATGAACGCGCCCCGGAGGCAGGGCCAGCGCTGCACAGGGAGCCCCCGCTCCCCCGCCCCCGAGTCCTCCGCGCGCGGGGCTCCCAGGCTGCGCCGAGCTGCCGTAGGCCTCGGGCCCCTCACGGCCGGGCGCGGACCCCTCCCCGTGGCAGAGCCCGGGCCCCGCGGCCGCCTGGAGGCCGGAGCACTCACGTGTGGCCGCAGCTGCCGATGGCCACAGGCCGGTGGTAGACCTCCAGGCAGATGGGGCAGCTGTACTGCGCCTCCAGGCCGCTGTCCCCCCCCGCGGGCCCGCCTGGCGGCTGCCGCTGCTGAGCC